GGGGGGGGGGGGGGGGGGGGGGGGGGGGGGGGAAGAGAGAGAGGAAGAGGGCCATGCCCATAGCACTTCTTGAAGCCATGTTTGTAAACGTTCCTGTTGGTAGCGCAGGAGGCCCTCCTGCCCTTGCTTTTGTGTCTTCCCCCCCACCCCTGGCGAGATTCCCCTACGGTTGGGTCCCCCAAACCTCAGCAAGGAGTAGCAAGGGCTCTGTCCTCCTGGAGGGGGACAGCACCGCCCTTTCACTTCCCACCTTACCTCAGGCCTGCGTGCGCCGCATGCAGGTGAGAACCGGCTCAGGGTTTTAGTACAAGAATCAGTCGCTTCTTCTCTCTGCCTTGCCAAACACACACACTCTGTCTCTCTCTCTGACACACAGACAAGCTCGGTCCTGATCCCAGTGGCCAAGGTACAAAGCAATAAGGAAAATAAGCCACGTTAAGTTCAAGGAAAGTAATTCCTTCTTTCAGTTTTTCTTCCCTCCTTTTTTTCCCCTCAGCCTCCCTGCCTCTGTGTTACTCAAAGACAGCGACAATATGCTAGACCCTGAGTGGTGACTTAGCCTGTTCTCTCTTCCTCCTCAAGTCCTCCTAAGAGCCCTACTTTTTAAAACTATATATTATTTCCTTGTATTTTCCTTTTTTTAAAAAAAATCCTCAAAAGGACACTCAGGTCACAGCATATTGGGGTGGGGTAGAGAGTTAAAAAGAAGATTTTGTGCCCAAAAATATACTCGGCCCATCTTTTGCCAGAGCCAGCTCCCTCTTCCCTGCTCCTCTCCTCATTCATTCCCCAAACACATACACTACAATCCTCATCTCTAAATGACCAAATCACTTCACACCACCCCCCTCTTCCCCCAACTGGTTGCGACTCTCGACACATTATGCAAAAGCACTGTGTAGATACTGTACAGGTTGTGCTGTGTCTCCCCTTCCCTCCCATGCACTTCAACCAACCAACTTCGGCCTTTCTTTTTGTATAAAGAAGAAGAAAAAAAGGAGTGGGGGGGGCGGGGGGAGGAAAGCTATTTTTCCTTTTTTGAGCTTAAATTTTGTTTTGTAAAAATAAAAACACACAATTGTGAATTGTAGCTTTTCTATGGGAGCGACTTTTAATTTAACAGATGAAAATATTTTGAAGCTTAGATTGAAGTTACTGTTTATTTGTTTATTTTTTGGGGGGGTGTTTTGTATCAAGTATTAAAATATGTATTTAAAACAGCTGGATGCGATTGTTTTTGGGCAGCTGAAACTCTAGGCTTGGAACTCTTAGGATGTGGGAGAGGCTGAAACTGCCTTGTCTAAAAGAAATAGTTTTACTGGGCAGGCAAACTTAACAAGCAATAACAAGCAGGTGGTTTGCAGATTGGCAGCTGCCTCCCTTCATTGTGCATCTTTCAATTCTCATTCAGATCTAGCATTAAATTAGAAAGTGTTTTCTTCATGACTAATGATACCTCAAACGCATTAGGTAATGCAGCATGACCAAATTACCTCACTGAGCTCGCCTCCTGAGATCATGATGATACCTAGACCTCCTTGTCTTTTGTCAGCCGGTCATCAGCTTGCATTAGAAACATGGAAGCAGCAGTAGCAAACTAGTTAAAAAAGCTAAAAGGAGACCTAAAAATGCTACATATTCTAACTCCTTGAGAGAGAAAGTGAGACAGGTTATTTTGCAAGATAAATCATGCTCGCTGATCACCACTTTAACAGTTCCAACCAAGTTTTGCTTTTTCTTCCCCATACTGGACATCTTTTTTTTTTCCATTTGCCTAATTATTATTTTTCTTTGTTCAACCTATGCAACATGAAAAGGCTGTGGGATGGTTTTTATAACTGTCAGTATAGACTGTCCTGGATTTCAATCGGATATTTCCCAGTTCATCTGTTCACTGACATTAAAACCTTGTGTATAGAAATTGGGTAGCATTCCATTGGTTCTATCCCTAAAAGGAGATGAACTAGTTTGACCCACATATACAAAAATAAACCCACCACACAGATGTTTGGCTAGAGCAATGTGATCGATGTAATTGCAGGATTCTAGATATCAAAATACTGCTGGAAGGAAAACAGGGCAAAGTTAAATGAACAAACTACCTGGGTTGACTCTTAAGTGACATTAAGTGACCGAAAAGATTCAAGACAAATTTCCCCTTTCTCCAGAGAACAAATCTTCCAAGTGCTTTGATTTTCAAAGCTCCATTGAGTTATCATTCTGGGAGAAGCTACTAAGTTATACAAAAATACTGGAAACCTAGAAAAATCTTTGAAACTAGCCTGGTACCTGCATTTCATTTCCAGAACGTTCACTACAATTCAGTATTTCTGAGGGGTATCCATACTATACAGCAGCTGCTAGGAAGGGAGCCGAGAGGGAACATTAGGGGTCTTACTCTCTTGCTGAACACACTGAAATTAGGTGGGCAGAAATTTAAGGAGGGTGATTGGTGCGTTTGGGATTAACAGATTTACTTTGCTTCTGGTGTTTTGTATAGCTTTGAAACCCAAAGAGCTCCGAGGGCTCTTCAGAAATGGTGGTATTACTTTGCAAAAGAAAGCACCCCTTTGCGACAGGCCGAAAGCTCTGCTCTCTTCATTCTTTATTGATACACACACACGAGGCCCACTTCTCCAAGGCATTCCAGGTACCCTGAATCTGCTACGCTCCCCACAGGGAAGAGAAGAATGTGAGGCCTCACTAACCCCCCCTGCGCCAGATGGCAAGTTTATAACAGCCCAACTTTAGACAATGAGCTGGAGAATCCCCCTCTGGCCTACCAGGATAGTCCCACGCAGGCACAAGACTGCCTTGCTGCTCCGTCTCCCACAGATACCTACCCTGTTTCTCCAACAATACGGCCTCCCCCAATAGGAAGTCCCAGCATGTTTTATAGGCATGAAATGAAATTAAGCCCCTCCCCCAAATTAAGGCCTATATTAAAACATGCGAAATGGGGGGAATGGTGGGGGGGGGGCTTGCCGTTAGGAAGTACTTTTGTTGTACACCCGGATATGGTGCTGCCTGCGTTGACCCCGATGCGAAGTGCCCCACCAACGCCGAGGTCAACATCCAAGCCATCGCTGCCCTCCCGAAGATGCAAGGGGGGGGGGATTAAGTCACCCCCAAAAAGATGGCCTAGCCATTTTTTCGGGGCTCAAAAAAAAATAAGACCCGGCCTTATTATATGAGAAACACGGTAGTGATATACCATCCTAGGCCTGGAAGTAGCAAAGGAGAGTTTAATCCCCGATGAAAACAGACAAGACTATAACAAATCATCTAAAGGCAAGAGACGCGTAGCATCTTACGTCACAGTTTAAAAAAGAAAGACTTCAGCCCAAAGCGGTAAGCATCAGAGTTTAATGACAGAAAATAATTATACAACACAATTCAACTCCATGCTGAGAGCGTAAGACACCTTTTAAAAGGCCCTACCTTCCGGGCCAAAGAGGCACCGCGCCTTCCTCGAGAAATGGGCAAAGGGTGACTTTCCCTCCCTTGGGACAGAGCTTCCTCACCCAGTAGGGGAGTGTAGCTTTCCCCTCTGCAATCAGCAACCTTGGGGGACACGGAAACATTGGGAGGAGGGAGGGAGGGGCACGGCTGCCTTTTAACATAGAAGCGCACAGTCCTCTGGCCTGTAGGAAGGTTCAACTGCTTTGAATGTGCAAGACAAAGGGAGGAAGGTAAGGAAAGGACAGAGCAATTAGTGTGGGGGAAAATCTTCCCACCCTGCCTTTCTGTTAGAGGACATTTATTTGGCCAGCTTCTGTACCCGTGAGTTGATGCTGGCAAAATTGTCTTCAACAGCAGCTAGATTCTCTTTCATGGCTTTCTGAACCTAAGGAGAAGGTGAGCAGAGAGTCGTCAGCCACGAAGGGGAAACAGCCAGACAGATTCACTGGAACCCCTCGCCCACCACCATATACAGTGAGGACCCCATGAGCACCAAATTGAGATAATCTATCAACTGGAACCCCCAAATGCTTCAGGGTAGTGCTGATAGCTAATAACTAGAGACTATGCTTTAGTAAACCAATTCAATAGACATCAAGAATACCAGCATACTCCACAGAATACTGGAAATTGGGCAAACATCCATTTTTTTATTTTACATTTTTCATAACTTGCAAAATGTTCCATAATTTCCTATGTATATCTTATCAATGTCCACCCATCCATCTCTATTTCTCTCTCATCTATCCTTCTATCTCTCTCTGTCTATCTCTCTGTCTGTCTATCTATCTATCTATCTATCTATCTATCTATCTATCTATCTATCTATCTATCATCTTCTATATCTATCTATCTTTATCTATCTTCTATAATCTATCAATCTTCTATATCTATCTATCGATCTATCCATCCATCCACCCACCCACCCATCTCTCTCTCTCCATCCATCCATCCATCCATCCATCCATCCATCCATCCACCCATCTCTCTCTCTCTCTCTCTCTCTCTCTCTCTCTCTCATTTGTCTATCTATAAAATCTCTCTTATCTGTCAGTGCATTTTATTTTTAATAATATTAAACACCCAACACCCAAGCTGAGCATGGAATGCCAGGAAAAATGTCTAACATTAACATATTTACTTGAACCCCAAATCTTCTAATGTGGTCACTGCCCTATCTGCCCCTTTTTTTGGATTTAGATATGATCTAGATCAATAAAAGACAACCTCAGATTCAATGATGAACACTGTATTAGTAATTTTCCTTTTAATTTCATTACAATATTTTTGGAACCCTGACTGAGCATCTGGGAAATGAAACAGAGCTGGTAGAACAAACAGAGTTGCCATTGTGGCAGACAAAGGAACTTGATTGGCTCTGCTGCATGAGAGGGACTCCAGTAGTTTTACCACTACAAGGAAGAAGTTTGCACTAACAATGGATTCCTGGATGGACCAGATGATCTATCTCTGAGATCTTCTCCATCTCCTAAATTCTATGATTTTGTAAGGAGAAACAGAGCTACTGAGGACTTTATTGATACTATCAGTCAGAATTGTTGCAAAACTAGGTACCAGCCCTCTTTGGAAATCTTGACCTCTGGTGTTCAGGAGACATTTCTAAGAAAACGTTAAACATATCTTCACAAGTATAAGGTCTACAAACTATATAATTTTGAGTTACATATCAAGATTCCTCCCTCTAGACCTCGCAGTCATAGGATAAACAACTCCGCATATCTTTTGGTGAGCGCAGGAGCTTGCTCCCTACTCTTAAACACTGTGAGACATGCGTGCATGTTTCATCTGTAGAGGGATGTGCAAACATCCCTCATGCAGATTCAGATCACAGAGGTCTTGGCGACTACGACACTGGCACTACGCTGGGTGATTCTCAGCCTTCTAAATCTTACCTGTGTCAGCAGGGTGACGTTATCCTTCAGGGAATTAGCAATCATTTGCTGGGTAGTGTCCAAATGAGTCAGGAGCTGCCCAAATTGCATGGCTGTAACCAAGACGAACCCAAGTCAGTTGGAGAAAAAAAAACCTGATCAGCACTAGATTTCTCCTTGGGGCAACAAGGAGCCCAAAGGCTGAGAATTTTTTTTTTTTTAAATCCATGATTTCAAGACTGGTTGTGGTTTTTTTTCCTGGTTTTTAAGAAGCCCTCGCCGTAATCCCCCCAAAAGAGCCTGAGAACTGACCTTGTTCATGCAATTGCCGCACAGCAACCAGACGTTGCACCACCTCAGGGAGGGTGCTGGCCAGTGGGCTCCACTCCTGCACAAGTGCATACAGCTGATGAACCTATAAGGAGAGAGAGAGAGAGAGGAACCTCCTGAGCAAGGAGAGAAGCTGAGTGACGATCTGGCCCTGGCCTTGACTTTCTGAAACTCCACAACACCCAGGTTAACAAACGCATGTATTGGGATAAACCTGGGACAAAAATTCACTGAGTTTGGCCCTCAAATCTCATGATCTGGTTGGCACTAATAGATAGATAGATAGAATACTTTTATTGGCCAAGTGTGATTGGACACACAAGGAATTTGTCTTGGTGCAAATGCTCTCAGTGTACATAAAAGAAAAGATACATCCGTCAAGAGCCAAGAATCATCAGGTACCACACTTAATGATAGTCATAGGGTACAACAAGCAATCAAATCATACTAGGAAACAGTCAGTCAATAATTAACTGACCATTAATTAACTAAGGTATATAGATAGTCCTCGACTTACAACCAAAGTGAGGCCAACATTTATGTTGGTAAGTGAAACATTTGCTCGATGAGTTTCCCTCATTTTATGACTTTTCTTGCCAGAGTTGTTAAAGCGAATCACTGTATTGGTTAAATTAGCAACACGGTTGTTAAATGAACCTAGCTGCCCCGCCGACTTTGCTTGCCAGAAGGTCGCAAAAGGGGATCAATATAACCCCAGGACATTGCAACCGTCATAAAGACAAACCGCTACCAATACCAATAAGACATTTAGAGTAAGTGCGCTTGAGATTGTGATTTTATTTTATTTCAAAATGACCGGCTTAGTTCAGTGTAATACTTGTTTTACAGCTGTCTTTCGCAGTACTCTTTTCAAACTTGGATACTGTCCTCTTTGTTAAAAAAATTACCAGTCTACATGGACAGATTACCTATCTAGAATCTCTAATTTGTGCTCTCAAAGCAGAAATTAGGTGCCCAATCCAGCCATCTATTGAGCTGCTGTGCTACCAGCCCCCACTACCACAAAGATCCTACAGGAAAAGGGCAGTATGGACAACCGTGGGATCTGGCAGGGTGAGAGCTGTGGACCATAAACACAAAACTTTTGCTGTGTCCCAGCATAACAGATACAATGCCCTTGCTGACCTTAATAGGGACACTAAAGTGACAGGTCAAGGTAGTTGTGATAATGATAACTTAAGTAAGCCAGGGATCATGGTCCTAGAAGAAGAACTTACTTTGGAAAGGAGAAAGTGTGAACCAGGTATTACGCACCAGTCACACAATAAGAGCAAGGCATCCAAAAAGAGAAACCACCTTCTGGTTGGGGACTCAATTGTAAGGGATGTAAATTTAGGAAAGAATACTGAGGTTTTGAAAGAGGTCAGGTGTCTGCCAGGTGCTACTGCCAGCAGAGACAAGAGGCATATTCTTAAGATAGTCAAGAATGCCAGCAAGGGCTGTGATGTTGATGCTATTATACATCTTGGTACAAATGATCTGTCCCAGAAGGATGTACATTCTGTTCAGAAAGACTTCCAGAGCTTGGGGTATGAACTTAGTAATATGGACTGTAGGCTTATTCTTTCAGAGGTTCTACCAGTGTACAAGGAACAAAAAGGGAAAGGGCAGCGTGTAGCAGAGTTTAATGTGTGGCTAAAGGAGTGGTGTAATGAAAAACTGTACAAAAGAGATGGTTTGCATCCATCAAAGAAAGGGACTGAGTTACTTGGCATTAAATTCACAGATTTCCTGGATAAACATTTAAACTGAACAGCGGGGACAGAGAATTAATGGATTCATAACATTTCTGTCCCCAGCAACCAAAAACTAATAAGGATACCAGTGCATGCAAAATAGATGTTTGTGCAATTAAGATTATCAACCTTGATGCCAACCAAAACCAAGCATTTAATAGCGAGTGCCATGCCATGTGCACTAATCAAACAGGTGGCAAGAAAGTAGGGACAGGCAGGCACAACACAGGTTATATAGACAGTAAACACAGTGTCACACATAAAGATCTCAAGTGGCTATATACAAATGCATAAAGTCTGGGGAACAAGCAGGGTGAACTCGAACTACGAATACATGAAGGTAAATATGATATAGTTGGAATAACAGAAACTTGGTGGGATGAAACCCATGACTGGAACATACTGGTAGAAGGATACAAACTATTCAAAAAATACAGACCCCATAAAAGAGGAGGTGGAGTTGCACTGTATGTAAAGGACCACTATATTGCTACAGAAATGCATGAAACCAAAGATGAAAACCTCCTAGAATGCATATGGGTCAATATAAAAGAAAAAAAGAATGACATGGCCATAGGTGTATATTATAGACCAACCAATCAAGCAGAAAAAATAGATGTCCTTTTTGCCAGCCAACTAACAAACATATGCAGGAAACACACAACAATAGTAATGGGAGACTTCAATTATCCTGATATCACTTGGAAAACTAATTCTGCATCAAGTGAGAAATCAAATAAGTTTCTAACCAACCTAGCTGACAACTTTGTTGTCCAAAAGGTAGAGGGTGAAACTAGAGAGACAGCCATACTGGACTTAATTCTTACAAACAGAGAAGAAGTGATAGAGGGAGTTGAAACTGCGGGAACCTTGGATGAGAGTGACCATGTCATACTAGAATTCAACATAACATAAACAAGCAACAGAACATAATGACACCAGAGTCTTGGATTTTAAAAGAGCTGATTTCAATAAACTCAGAGAGAACTTGGGAAAGATTCCATGGATGAAAATCCTAAAGGGGAAAACGACTCAAGAATCTTGGGAAACTCTAAAAAGTATTATCACAGAAGCCCAGACCAGCACAATACCACTGAGAAAGAAAAACAAGAAATCCAAGAAGAAACCAGCATGGCTGCACAAAGATCTCTCTGGCAAACTGAAAGAAAAAAAGGACAAGTACAAAAAATGGAAAGAAGGACATACAACTAAGGCAGAATATCAGCAGATAGCCAGAATCTGCAAAGACGAAGTCAGGATAGCAAAGGCTCAGAACGAACAAAAACTTGCAACAAAAGTCAAAGATAATAAAAAAAGTTTCTTCCAACATATAAATAACAAGAAAAAAATCAAGGAAACAGTCGGTCCACTAAAGAGAGAAGATGGCAAGGAAGTAACAGGCAACAGAGAGAAAGCAGAACTGCTTAACTCATTCTTTGCATCCGTCTTCACGCAAAAATAAACTATAGCTCAACCCACCAAAAACATAACTGTAAAAGACAGACCAGAAATAAAAGTTAAAATAAGCAAAAAAATAGTAAGAGAACACCTGTCTGATCTTGATGAAAACAAATCACTGGGGCCTGATGGATTACATTCCAGAGTTTTAAAGGAGCTGGCAGAGGTCATCTCAGAACCACTGCACCATATCTTTCAAAAATCCTGGAGCACCGGGGAACTACCAGAGGACTGGAAAAGAGCTGATGTGGTTCCCATCTTCAAAAAAGGAGGGGGAAAAAACAGACCCAGGAAACTATAGACCAATCAGCCTAACATCAATACCCGGGAAGATAACTGGAAAAGATAATAAAAAAACAGATCTGCCAACATCTAGAAACAAGTAAAGTAATAACTAGCAGTCAGCACGGGTTTGTTAAAAACAGATCATGCCAAACCAATCTTCTTTCATTCTTCAACACAGTGACTAAATTAGTAGACCAGCAAAATACTGTGGACATAATATATTTAGATTTCAGCAAGGCATTCGATAAAGTAGACCACAACCTACTTCTTAGTAAGCTAGAAAAAAGTGGAAGAGATAGATGGATTCACAACTGGCTGGCAAACCATACTCAACAGTAGTCCTTAATGGGTCTAAGTCTACATGGAGGGAAGTAAGCAGTGGGGTGCCACAATCTTAGGCCCAGTACTCTTCAATATCTTCATTAATGACATAGATGAGGGAATAGAAGGGGAACTTACCAAATTTGCAGATGATACTAAGCTGGCAGGAATAGCTAATACCCAAGAAGATAGGCTCAAGATCCAGATGGATCTTGACAGACTAGAACACTGGGCTGTATCTAACAAAATGAAATTCAATATAGAGAAAAGTAAAGTCCTACACTTAGGCAAGAAAAACCAAAAGTACACATATAGATTGTGTGAAACCAGGCTCAATAGCAGTAACTGTGAGAGGGATCTTGGAGTCTTAGTGGACAACCAGCTAGATATGAACCAATGGTGTGCAGCAGCAGCCAAAAAAGCTAATGCAATCCTAAGTTGCATTAACAGGGGGATACAGTCAAGATCAAGAGAAGTACTAATACCCCTCTATAAAGCCTTAGTAAGACCACACCTAGAGTACTGCATCCAGTTTTGGTCACCACATTATAAAAAAGATGTTGAGAGTCTAGAAAAAGTACAGAGAAGAGCAACCAGGATGATTAGGGAACTGGAGGCTAAAACATACAATAAACGGTTGCAGGAACTGGGCTTGGCTCGTCTAGTAAAGAGAAGGACCAGGGGAGACATTATAGCGGTCTTCCAATATTTGAGGGGCTGCCACAGGGAGGAAGGGGTCAAGCTATTTTCTAAAGCGCCTGTAGGCCAGACAAGGAATAATGGATGGAAACTGAACAAGGAGAGATTTAACCTGGAAATAAGGAGAAATTTTCTGACAGTGAGAACAATCAAACAATGGAACAGCTTGCCCTCAGAAGTTGTGGAAGCGCCATCACTTGAGACTTTCAAGAAGAGATTGGACTGCCATTTGTCAGAAATGGTGTAGGGTCTCCCGCTTGGGTGGAGGGTTGGACTAGATGACCTACAAGGTCCCTTCCAACTCTGATTATCTGTATCTGTATCCGCTCTCCAAGCATCTGCATTTTGATCACAGGGCCATGGGGGATGCTGCAACAATTGTATGAACAACAGTCATAAGTTACTTTTTTCAGGGCAGCTGTAACTTTGAACGGTCACTAAGCGAACCAGTGTAAGTAGAGGATTACCTGTAGTTAGTGCAGTGTTGGCTAACCATTTTGGGCTCCTGTGCCAATCATTGTGTGCAAGCTTGTGCGCACACGCTCACGTGCCAGCACCCAGAAGGCAATGCATGTGGTTCCTCTGCCCCCTGAGCATATGCACGACCCCCCTGCACGCCACACAACTCTGTGCATGCACACACGTCTCCCGCATACCCCCTCCCCCCGTGCATGCGCGCCAGATACCCGACAATCAGCTGGTGGGTGGGCGGGCAGCACGCACGCACAGTAGACCTGCTCTGGACAAGGGCTCACATGCTCTGTGTGCCACTTCCAGGGGTGGGATTCAAAATTTTTAACAACCGGTTCTGTGGGCGTGGCTGAGGTGGTGGGCGTGCCTTGGTGATCATGTGACTGGCTGGGCATGGCCAACTCAATATCACTCACATCGAGGCACGCATCTCCTTGCCTGGCCTCTCATGACGGTGGGGATGCTGCAACAGTCATAAGTGTGAAAAATGGTCATGTTACCTTTGTCAGTGCCATTGTAACTTTGAATGGTCACTCCACACAAGCAAAGTACTAGCAAAGGAAGGGAAAAAAACTCCAGACAAGTTCCTGAGACAGGAAGTCTAGTCTTGCCAAGAATGTAATAAGGGTTAACGGAGAGGCAATTTCTGTAAGCAACACCAGAATGTTTCCTTCCTGCCTTCCTTACAGGATTAGGCCAGTAATTTCTTCTAACAACCGGTTCTCCAAATTGCTTAGAATATTAACAATTGGTTCTAGCAAATAGGTGCGAACTGGTAGAATCCCACCCCTGGCCATTTGCCTGCCATAGGTCCGCCATCACGGAGTTAGTGCATAAATTACAAATATTCAGCTCTAGCGCGGGCTGAACAGTCTTCTTGCTCAGTTGTGCTTTAGTTATGATGCTATCCAGCAAAGTTCAGTTCACACCATCACATGCTGGCCACTAAGTGCTAAGCCAACAAATGGGGCACCTGCCTGTGGGACAGCAAGCCATGTCACGTGCCACTCCCTTCTCCTTTCTCAAGAAATCGTACGGGCACGTAAGAGTGCGATCTCCAATTTTTACAGGCAGAAGCTGAACAAGGTATCAAGGATACCGTTTGCTCAGAGCAATCACAAATGCTCTGTTTTTCTCTTCCGGAGCTGACCAAATGAACCTAGGAAGCCACCAAGATCTAGAGTCATCGGGACCCCATGAGTTTAAAGTTACCTGAAGCAACAGAGTATTAATATTTCAAGATGTTAGAAACAAAATCTGAGTTAGGGGTAGCTACTGCATTGGTAACAGGCAGTACAAATCCCCATAGACTTAGATTATCAGCCAGAAAAAAAATGTTGCCCTTGCTGAAGGCCAGACTTTTACACCAGGAGGGCAGGGCTCCAAAATCTGAATTGACCTAAATGCAGATGCACACCTAGCATCTCTTGGAAACCCCTTAAAACAGAGATGTGGAGAACTATGGCCCCTTTATGATTTGTAGATTTCAATTCCCAGAATTGGCTGGAGTTGACATCCACACGTCATGAAAGGGCCACAGTTTCCCCACCCCTGCCTTAAAATAAGAGGAGGAAGGTGTGTTGGATATGTTCACTGTCTTGAGTTATTTGTAAAAAAATAATAAAGGTGAGACACAAATAGATAAATAAAATAAATCCACCCACCATATTTTGCTGCTACTCAAGTCGAGGGGAAGAAAAGCAATTACTTTTAAAAGTTTTCCTGATTGCAATAGCCATTGAGACCACAATTGCTGTTGCTAAGCAACACAGTTATAAGGTGTGGTGTCATGTGACCATGGCATTTAGTGATGGCAATTCCAGCAGCCTTGCTTACCATCATGAAGTGAGGACTTCCCATAACAGCAATCTCTGTGAGAAGCCAGCAAGGAACATCAAAAATCACAGTCACGTAACTGTGGCTTGCTGTGATGATGCAATCATGAGCAAGATGTTGGGTACCACCCAGATTGCGATCATGTGACCCATAGGGATGTTGCAATGGGTGGAAATCTGAGGACCAGCCCTAAGTCCAGGCAGTCCTCGACTTAAAACGGCTCATTTAGTTGACTGTTCCAAATTACCACAGCACTGGAAAAAGTGACATGACAGTTTTTCACACTTACGACTGCTGTAGCATCCCCATGGTCACTTGGATCAAAATTCAGATGCTTGATAACTGACTCATCTTTATGGCAGTTGCAGTGCCCCAGGGGTCATGCAATCACCTTTTGTGACCTTCTGACAAGCAAAGTCAAAGGGGCAAGCCAGATTCACTTGACAACTGTGTTAATAAGTTAACAACTGCCGGGATTCACTTAACAACTGTGCAAGAAAGGTCGCAAAATGGGGCAAGATTCATTTAACAAATGTCTCACTCAGCAACAGAAATTTTGGGCTAAATTGGGGTTGTAATTCGGGGACTATCTGTACCATTTGTTCAGCACCCTTGTAACTTTGAACAGTGGACGAACAGTTGTGACCCAAGGATATGTATGAATTAAAAAGAAAAGTTTGTGGATTTATCATTAGATATGCGCATTAGAAAGACTAAACCAGGGGTCTCAAACTCGCGGCCCGCAGGCCAATTGCGGCCTGCAGGACGATATCCTGTGGCCCCCACCGTGATATGAAAGTATAATATTAGTGCGGCCCGCAGGGGGAATGGACCTCTGAAGGAAGTCCCGCCCGCCGTTCCTCGTCGTGGCTTCTTCTCCACCCTGAACTTTAACAAGTCCAAGTACAGGTCCAGACTTACTGATGATCATCTTCAAGCCATACTGAGGGTCTCAAGTGCCTCCTCTCTCAAGCCAAATGTGGCTCAGATATGTGAGAGGAAGCGTTGTCAAGTCTCTGGCAGCAAGGAGTAAGCTGGAGAAGCCATGTTCTGAGGAACTGTTCATGATCTTCATTCAATGTTCCATTCATGTGTTCAGGACAGTTCATGTATTGGAGAAATCATTAACTGTTGATGACATTTGAGGATATTTTTTTAACGTTTTTTGTGGAATCCCTTATGCGGCCCAGCCTCACCCAGACTCTGCCTCCAGCGGCCCCCAGGTAAATTGAGTTTGAGACCCCTGGACTAAACAGAAGCTGACCTTGCTTTGGGTGTCTGCATCCTCTACTGTGGCTTTGTGCTTGGCAATCTCGTTCACCTTTCCCAAAACACTCTAGGAATGAAACCAAAAACAGATGTTAACAGCGCATACCAGAATGCCTTGCCACAAGGTCAGTGTCCCGTCTGATAAAACCGAATGTACTGCCTGATGGGAAACTTTTTCCAACTGTTTGTCCCTCCGTTCCACAATACAGACCTCCGCTCTCAACTATATATTCATCTTCAAAATCCTCTAAATCAGCGTATGTTGGGGAAAAAAGCAATGGAACTTCATTTCTGTTTATGATAAGTGCAGCAAGATTATTGTAGGCACAAAGATGGAAGCATCCGGCAATACCTACAGTGGAGGAATGGTCAGGGAAGATGACGGAATTTGCTGTGATGGCCAAATTAACTTCTTTGTTAAAAAAAAAAGACAATATTTACATTTATTGCTGACTGGAAACTCCTCATAATCCGAGGGGAGGGGGGAGGAGAGGACCCCAAACTTACGATTTAGGGTTTTGAAGATTAGATAGGATAGATAATAGAAAGAAGAAAGACATAACTTTAGAGAAAGGGCTAAATTTATAATTGTAAGAAGTGCTGGAAAGCAGATTGGAAGCCATTTCTTAGTATTTAGAATTAGTATTTAGTATATAGAAAAGTTTACTCTTTTCTCACTTTTAGCTTTTTCTTTGACTTCCTTCTTTTCCTCTTTTCCTTCTTATTTTAAAATACTTTGTATTAGCTTTTAATCTTCTTTTTATTTTCAAAATACAATTATATATATATTTTAAAAAGAAACCCTAGAATAAAACCCACCTGTAGCCTTGCCTCCACCTGGTCCAGAGTTGCCACATCTAAGGAGTTGACTTTGGCCTGCAAGAGCTCCACAGTTTCCTAAGGATGGGTGGGATTGAAGAGTGTCAATCACTCAGTTGACAACACAGGGAATGAAAATCTAAAGGTCCTTTAACTGCTTACAACATTCTGATTGATCAAATATACATGCAGTCTCTCGGCCTCCTATAACTTTTATCTTGGTTTTCCCTTTCCTTTCAGAACCCCATTTTTCTAAATATAAGGAGGCTCTCTCTCTTGTCACTAGCTCACAATGCCCAGAAGTGCCTATTATTTTGTGTCATTTTTAGAAAACAAAACAGATTGGTGTGTGTGTGGGGGAAATAATATACTTTGGAGCTGTTTTATATTTCTTTTGTCCATAGCCACCTATATATCATTGAGTATTTACGACTGATAATATTGTCTGAGGTTAATGTGTACATACAAACTTTATGGTGAGGAGACCTACATGTACAGATATGATTGAGATTATGTCACCAAGAGCTTAGTCATTCAAAGTACGAGGTTAGACACAATCTTTCGATCCCTATATAGCATTTAGGAAAAAATAGGTCCTTTTAAATCAGGGGTGTCAAACTCGCGTCGTCATGGTGGCGTCACATGACATATCGGGACTTTCCCCCCTTCACTAAACTGGGCAGGGGCGGGGCCAGCACGTGACACATCCGGCCCGTGGGCTGCAAGTTTGACACCCCTGTTTTAAACTATAAAATAACATTGGGTGTCTACAGGATATGGTTAAAAAAAAACAAGACTTATTGAAGGTGCATTCAAAACTCTACTCATATTATAGAAAGGCAGGGCTTGGATCACACCACTGTGGTCATGGTTTTTACTATCTGACTGTTTTCTACAGACACCCCTAAAACTATAACATTTATTACATTTTACTCTCATGCTAACTTCTGCATGAGATCAGGAAAAAAATACTTTGCCAGACCAAAATGCTCTTGGCAATTTCTCTGTCCCCTTGATTTTTGGCTTCTAAGACACATAGCCAAGTCTGGACTACCTGGTCTAGAACATATTGCAAAAGTGAAAAATATGTGCCTCAATCATGCCTTGGAAATCTCTCCCACCCCCCTCAAATTTCTTCCTTTCTCCAACCCTCCCTCCTCCAGGATTTCATATACATACCTTGCACAGCAACTATCAATCACAATATAGTTTTGCAACCATCCACAGTATAAACCAATCTCCAAGATTCCTTCATGCCTACTCCCGAAAAGCAGACATCCCACTTAATTCCTTCCAAGTCACAACAGGCACAAGAAGACTGAATCAATGCCTTACCATTAAACTAGCGCCCTGCAGTCCAACAGACAGAGGATTCTAGATAGAGGGGAGGAAAAAGGGTGATTTAATACAATGCCATTCGGTTTCTAACAAGGACGGTGGTCTGCAATACAATGTTATGCCATTGTTTTAATACAGGCCAGTGTCTCTCAACCTTGGCAACTGGCCACTTTAACATATATGGACTTCAACTCCCATGCTGGATGGGGAAATTCTGGAATAATAATCCAGATGACAGGGACTAAGGTATGGGGGCAATCTGATCTATAAAACAGACTGTCAAATGTGCGCCAAGCCATGCCTGCCATCTGCTGTTCAAACTGAAGTTGTGAGTCAGAGGGGACTCTTAAAAGGCACAACTTGGCCTATCTGGAGTAGTGCAGCAGCCCCATCTAGAGCCAAAGATGAAAATTCCCTGAATTTAGCTAGGCCCCAAATCTTCAGCCACTCAATCCGAGTCTGAGTGGAGTCTGTTTTCCCCTATCTAAGGCCACTACAATGTGAGGTCCTCCTCCTCCTCTCCTCTCTGTATTAAAATTGAACTCTAACAAGTCTTTGCTTCTCCTATAACATATTTGGATCTCGGAATTCACCTCGTAAGGCAAGTGAATAGCCCTAGAAAGACCCCCAAAGAAAGCTCTTCTTCACGCAATCCATCCATTGCTGCGTTTCAGCTGTTGACATACAATGTTTTTCCCTATGCTTCTCCATAAGGAAAAAAACAACAACCCCTCATCTCAGGCCTGAATAAAGGATCATTACAACCGATTAAAATCACCGTCTTCATCAGGCAACCTGCCAATCTACTGCCCCCCCTCCCCCCGTGTCTCTCACCTGCACATCCTGTTCACAACGAACTGACGCCTCCAACTCAGCCAGACGCTTCTCCAATTCTGCTATCTGACAGGGCACAAGAAAAACAAAACAAACCCCATTAAAATGTTTCACTCCTCTCTCCTGATCCACAAACGTCTGCTAGCTTGGAATCAAAGCAGTCAAACTGCTTCTCAAGTTTTGCTTTGAATTGAGACGAGTCGTTTGGGAAGCAGGCGCTTCAAAGAACAGGATCGTTTTGGGGGGTTTTTTTCACGCCACTAAAAGCGAGTTAAGAGGCCAGGCAGTGAGAACTTGTGGCACAGAAATATCACCCCCCAGCATCCTTTGCCAAATATCATGCTGGCTCCTTGCTACTTTAGCAATTTCTGGAGGAATACCGTGGATTTCTTAACAGATGAACAAATCCTTTGTTGAATACCCTTTAACTTCATGGAGCTGACTAGAAACGGGATCAGCCAAGGTTCTGTTTTGAGGTGCATACAGTGCCAGCAGTAAGGAAATAGCCCCAGAAATCTGGAGGGTCTGGAATTCCAGTTCTCCAACGTTATTTTTCCTCTCTAAAGTCATCTTAATACTGTATTTCAGCAGCAAGCAGAACATCAGTGGGTGTGATATCAGCCTGGCTCTGGCCTTAACAGTTTCCATGCAGAAGTAATAGTGATTCTCATTCAGAGGTAAACTTCTGTCAATCAACTTATGGATTCAGTTACTTCCACTATGTGCCATATTTTGTTTTTAACATCACACACAAATACAAATACACACACAGGCACACTGAGATGGTGTGTGTGTGTGTATGTGTGTGTGTGTAGGTTGTTTGGATCTGTTTTAGATTGGTTGTTAGGGCATCCCAAGGGGATAATTGAAGCAGTGGGTTTTGGTTGTGCTTTATGGTTTTTATAGTTCAGGGTTTTATTGTTGTGAACTACCCAGAGTTGCATTTGAAGAGGGGCAGCCTTATAAATCTTTTAAATTTAAAAACAAAATAAATATTCCTTTTTAATTTACACACACAAAAGAAAATGGCACACATATTTTAAAATATCATTTATTGAGGTCCAAGCATTCTGGAGAGTGGGTTGTTTGTGAAATCATGAACATTAGCCCATCAATGCAGCTTTTACTCGCTTAAACCGCTCATGAGCTTGCAGAGTCCCTCCATTTCGGTCACCCAGGATGGTCCTGAGGAAAGGTAACTCACCTCTGTTCTACCTTACTTCACATCCCACTTATTCTAATGCATTTCCCCACCGTCTCAAGAAAGGACCCAGGGAACAAGCCATTGTCCCATTCTTACTTTTGCCGCTTGAGAGAACTTGTCTTGCTCAGGTCGAGAATGCAGTTCGTACGTCACGGTGTTTTCTGAGCCCGCTGTGACTTTGGCAGCACCTTTCCCACCAGCAGAAACACTTTTAGCAGTTTTGGTCGCTTCCAGTTGAAGAAGTAAACGCCTGAAAAGGCAGAAGAGCCCAACACGTGGGAAAGTTGCACCCTCACCAATTACACCAGCGGTGGCAACTATCTTGTTTCAGGTCAGAGAGGGCAGGTGTAGTTATACATCCTAACACAGGGGTCTCCAAACTTAGGCAACTTTAAGACTTGTGGACTTTAACTCCCAGAATTCCCCAGTTCAGCATGACTGGCTGGGGAATTCCGGGAGTTGAAAGTTTGAAGACTCCTGTCCCAACAGGAGGACATAGTGACATGGTGTTACCAAAGGATTTGTGTCAGCGTTCCGGAAAACCTCAACTCCAACAAACAACTCCCGAGACAGACATCTTCTCAAAGGTTCCTTTTATTAGAGTAGTAAACTGGCGCATTTGGGAAATCCCGAATCTGAAAGCTCCGGGTTTCCTTGCAATAAGTAAAAATATTACAAATCCACCCCCTGCACCCCTCATGGCATCACACGCCTCAATCTCCATCTGTCCCAACTTGAGACGTCCCTTCAACCACTCCTCAGCCAGGTGCAGAAACAACATGACCTTGACTTAGAGAAGAAGAATACTATTACATCTAACCACACACGCTCCAAGGAAGTCCCCCCCCCCTCCCATTTTCCCAGGCTCAAGAACGTGGCAGTGTGGAAACGCCTGGTGCTAATATGGCTTCCAAAGCTGACAATTTGCACTTCAAGTGTGATCAATGGTGGAGCTGCCCGTTTGCATTTGAACACAAGTCATTTCATTGCTCTGACACATGCGGCATGCAACTTTTTCTTTTTATACAATATATATTAACCACAACCTAATGGAAACAACAACCCTAACCCTAACCTAACACTCAAGTTATAAAGAATGTTTCTAGTTCTTTGGGTGTGTTGAAATGCCAGCAAGTTTCAGTGCCTTCCCCTCCCCCAGCTTAAAATAGAAACATGAGCACAGCATGCATTGCTGTCATGTCCACCAATATTTACAGGAATGCCAATTAAAATTTTCCCACGTCAGTGTTTTAACTCTTAAATGCTTTTAATTGACTTTGCTTGTCAGAAGGTCGCCAAAGGAGATCACACGATCCCGGGCACTGCAACCGTCATAAATATGAGTCAATTGCCAAGTGTCTGAATTTTGATCCCATGATCATAGGGATGCCTCAACGGTGGTTAAGTGTGGAAAATAAGCATAAGTCCCTTTTTTTCAGGGCCGCCATAACTTCAAACGGTTACAATGAGCTGTTGTAAATTGAGGATTACTTGTATACCCCTCAGAGAGTCTTGAGACAAAGAAAAGATATATTTGATCTTGAGCTTCCCTGGAAAGGGGCACTCACGATCTCCTCAGATCCTTAAGTGCAGAAGGTCTGATTGGAAAAAGCTGGTGATAAAGGCTATTATTATTCTCCGAAGAAAGCCCTGGCCCTACCACAACCTACTTGGCCAGAGCACCATCAGGGTCCGTCAAGTTGATGGCCGCCTCAGGTCCCAAGAGTTTCTCCAGATGGGTGGAAACCAGTTGCTGTTTCAGGCCAGCCACTTGTTTTGCAAGAGTGACTGGTGTCAGTTTCTCCTCCGCTGAGGACTCTTTTACGCTGTTCTGAGGAAGCAGGAATACAAGTGTTCAAAAGCCTAATAATCAGCAGTTCCCTCCCCTCCAACTTTAATGCAAGAATATAATCTGAAGAAGCACTTAATTTTACATACACAGAAACTAAAGAATAGACCGAGTCCTGGACAAGTTTAACCTGACAGTAGTTCCAAATCAAGAAGGCCCCTCAGGAGGCTCCAGACCTCCTTTGTCTATCTTCAATTTTTACCTTGATCTTCTCCACTTCAGTAGTCAACTCTTGAACTTCATGCAGTAGTCGCTGATATTTCTGCTGTGGGGTCTCTTTCACATGGAGTCCTTCTCCTAACTTAATGAAAAAGGCAGAAGAGCAAGATTAGCACTTCAGGACAGCAGCTGGTAATGTAAAATAAGACAGCACCTTCCATTTTATCCCAATTGCTGAGTTATAGCGGTCTTGACGGAAATGTTTTCAGAAATGTGCCTGGATTTTTCTCCCTGCACTGTCACCTAACTGTGTGTGTGTGTGTGTGTGTGTGTGTGTGTGTGTGTGTGTGTGTGT